AAATTATTTTAATTTGTATCTTAATCGTAATACCTCGTATCATAGAAAAATTTTCTTTCAAATTAAAGATTTGTGTCAAGGAACTAGATCTATAAAATAGAAAGACATTACATAAATTAAGAGTTTTGAACTATCAGTATTCGATGCATCTAAGAGTTTTTATACCCTACGTTCCCAACTTCTGGAAAACGGTTTTTCACCCTTATGATCAGTTTCAGACATTTTGGGAGTCTCCCAAACTTTGATATTTTGCATTATGATAGAGAAACGTGTCTAGTTTAACGCACAGTTGTTTTAAAGGCAAATGATGATATCACATGAAATTATCAAATTATCAAATTTTGAAGTACCAGTCCAAAGGGTTAATTAGATCCTACACAGATGTGCGATAGTGAAACATATGTGTTCTTGATTTGAGAAGTCCTACTGATAGAGGTATGAATCTCACAGCTTTGTGTGAGTGTGTCTGACACTTGTATAGAGTGGAATATGCGCCGACATATATTATATAATAACATGTAGTTGAGAATTATGAAAAAATAGAATTCGATGCGAATGATATTGAAAGTTGTTTTGTAATTTGATATTTTTCTTATATGTGTTAATTAGTAAATGGCTTGTTTGTTGTGATAGTACTGTGAAAAATGAAAGGTATTTTAAATTAAAAAATTGAGATTTTGAGATATCTCTAGAATTAAGAATTTATTATGTATTTGACTTTTATATAACTATGTGTAAAGGATCTCGATGTCTATATGCTATAAATAAAATTAAATAAAATGAGATAAAAAATTAAAATGGACAAGAAGATATATGGAAATGTAATTTGTATTGTGTTGGTTGTTGGCAAAATGATTTTAATACAGATTTAAGGATTTGGAATGGATTTGAAATTAAATGATTTTAATTCAAGGAGTAATAAGATTTTGAACTGGTTTTTATTTTGTGAATGTAAACTCCTTCCATAGGATATGTATTAGAAAGATCAATGTCAAACTTTTTGAAAGAATTGTTTTTTTGTTGAGCGATTTTCTCATATTTAATAATATATTTAAGTTGGCGTATCTTACGCCCTTCCAAAAATATGTATTAGAAAGATAAATTTTAAACTTTTTGAAAGAATTGTTTTTTTGTTGAGCGATTTTCTCATATTTAATAATATATTTAAGTTGGCGTATCTTACGCCCTTCCAAAAATATGTATTAGAAAGATAAATTTTAAACTTTTTGAAAGAATTGTTTTTTTGTTGAGCGATTTTCTCATATTTAATAATATATTTAAGTTGGCGTATCTTACGCCCTTCCAAAAATATGTATTAGAAAGATGACTTATAATTTCATAAATTATTTTGTCCCGACGGTTTGAGCGGTTATCAGAATGGTTGCTTACACAATGCGTCAGCAAAATGTCGGTTGGGGTGCCCTTCTTGGCCTCCTGAGTACTCACCAAGATACCCCCAGCTCCCGCAAAACACCTCCCTTAGGTGCGCATTACCTGACGGCATTATTTTGCAATTATTTCAAATTTTTTAGATGTCTTTTGTTAAAGTTTGTTAACTAAAGACTTGAAAACAGCTTACCGCTTCAAGCTGCTCTCTTCCCGGTTCCTCTGCCGCAATCTTCTGTTTGATTGTGCGCAAAGCTCTCCTCCTTGTGAACTTTGCCTGACAGATACACCTGGGAGACAGCATTCGGACATCTTACCGCTTCAAGCTGCTCTCTTCCCGGTTCCTCTGCCGCAATCTTATGTCTGATTGTGCGCAAAGCTCTCCTCCTTGTGAACCATGGCTGATAGAAAGAACTGAAAGACAGGATAGGAGGAACATGCCGGTTCAAGTTAACTTGCAATATGCTTCTGATTAGTGATTTTAGATGAAAGATTAGCGAAATCGCATTTAATTTGGATAGAAGGATTCAATTTTATGAAGCAGGCTCGTAGAAAATATGCAGGAATAGCACAATCTTTGCAATCACAACGCGTTGCAAAACTTCGACCGACAAGAGTGTATTGTGCACTCTTGTCGGTCTGCATGTCTCATTCCGGGAGACATTGTCACTGCATGTCTCCCAGAATGAGACAATCTTCCGCATTCATAACTTGAATGCGGAAGTTTGACCGACAAGAGTGCACAATACACTCTTGTCGATCTAAATGTATCTTACAATCAAAGACACTTTCATACAATCTTTTCGAAGTTAAAAAAAAATTTAATTATTTCTTTCTTTTGTTTATTAAATCGCCTTACTCACGTACTAATCTCTTTTAGAGACTCTATCGAGCTATCCCCACATATAAACCTGTGACAATAATACATATTTACTCTCTTCATATTCTGATCTCATGACACATTATCGCAAAAACTATAATTATACAACACATCTCATAAAGTCTCATTTTAGCTCTATCTAAGCGTTCAAAACCTATTTTCCACACGTAATCTGATTCTTCTGGCTCCGCTGATTCGATTTCTGCTGTCAGATCGTGAAAATATGCATCACATAAAGAGATAAATGCAAATTGCATAACTTAATATTTTCCTTAAAAATTTTTCCTAAATAAGCTCTTTTTTTGAAAATTCAATTTTTTCCAAAAATGTATGAATTCAAAAGTTCAGATTATATCTAGTCATTTTCCAACATTAATTTTGTGTTTTAGTTTTTGAGATATTCATTTTATTATACGTATTATTCAGAAAATTAAAAGAATTTGTGAGGGGAAACGGAGGAGATAATAAATATGTAAAGATGGATGAATAGACAATTTGAAAAAAAAAGCAATAATTTTGAGTTGTGTTTATCTCTTTATGTGATGCATATTTTCACGATCTGACAGCAGAAATCGAATCAGCGGAGCCAGAAGAATCAGATTACGTGTGGAAAATAGGTTTTGAACGCTTAGATAGGGCTAAAATGAGACTTTATGAGATGTGTTGTATAATTATAGTTTTTGCGATAATGTGTCATGAGATCAGAATATGAAGAGAGTAAATATGTATTATTGTCACAGGTTTATATGTGGGGATAGCTCGATAGAGTCTCTAAAAGAGATTAGTACGTGAGTAAGGCGATTTAATAAACAAAAGAAAGAAATAATTAAATTTTTTTTTAACTTCGAAAAGATTGTATGAAAGTGTCTTTGATTGTAAGATACATTTAGATCGACAAGAGTGTATTGTGCACTCTTGTCGGTCAAACTTCCGCATTCAAGTTATGAATGCGGAAGATTGTCTCATTCTGGGAGACATGCAGTGACAATGTCTCCCGGAATGAGACATGCAGACCGACAAGAGTGCACAATACACTCTTGTCGGTCAAACTTCCTAATACAAAATTTGATTCCCTTATTATCTTCTTAACAAAACTTAAGATTTCAATAATACATCATGAAAACATTCATTTACTACATTCACACTGTTATTCCTTTCTATAAATTAACTCATTTAATAGAATCTTGTTTTTATATCTTATTATTTTCTCATAATACTTCTAATTCCTCTATTTCCTCTTCCACATAAAATTTAATTTTGTAATGCTATCATATACACTTAATGTTTTCAAATTTTCAGATTTAAATTTAATCTTTATTTTCATCATCATTTATAATCTTGTTCCTATATAAAGTTATAATAAATTATCGTCAGATTCTAATATTTATGATTCTTACTACTCAATTCAATATAATTATGTTAGTCACTCATATTCAGGAGAATAATTTAAAAATCTATAGCTCATATTTTGATAGTTATATATTTAGATGATATATATTGCAATTCCGGTTTCAACACGATCAAATGCCAAACCAAGACAAAATATATATGAATTTTCAAAATATCGATTTACATTAGAATCTATATCTAATTTTATCAATACACAAGTAGGGAATGTTCAATACATCTTTGAGCAACGTGAATAGCACAATTTTATAGGATTATTTGTTGATTATATAAAATATAAGCCAAATCGAATCTGCTGTATAGTACTTTAGTTTATCATTGAATGTTAAATGTGTTCAGATAAATATTTGAGTCAGATATCGCATTTTCTAATTTCAAAATTTATCTCATGAAGTTAGAATTTATTTGATCATACAACATCATGTTAGTCAAACTAGAGTTCAATGGCGATTCTAAAATGGAACAAATGCTTGTTTTATCAAAATGTTAAAATATTAATCTAAAAAACTTAATATCTAACCAAACCATTCTAGAATTATTATATACGGGTATAGGCAATCTAAATGCACACGGAATTCGGAAAATTAAAAAGAATATTTATGAGATTATTAAATCTTATGTAATTCAATGAAAAGTAGATAATATGAATATCTATAGGCTATATATCAACATATGAGTTTTTGGTTTGACCAATACTATACTAATGTGATCAAATTAATCTGATTTCTTAGATTTTCATTTGAAGCATTTGCAGTAGTAGGGGTACCTTTATATATTAACATATTAAAAATTGCGCTCCGATTCGCAGTTTCTTCATGATTTTGAGATTGCATTAGATTTCGCGATGCAGAAAAAAATCACTTTAGATTCCCGTCAAACTCTAAGTATAAGCATGTCTCTATATGTAGAAACTGTCTGCGCTATTTATTTCCCGGCTCAAAAAACCACGGTGTCTGTGTGAGGAAAATACCCATTTTAGGACCCTGGGTCATGAAAATTTTCCAAGAGTTGGAAATATAGGGTACCTAATTTAGAAAATCAATATTTTTTAAAAAACTCAAAAACTTCAAATATCACATTTAATTGCAATTATTAACTAGACTAACACAAGCATCTAAAATAAAAAACGAGAATTTATTAATGAATTTAATTTTATTAGTTTTCATTAAAGTAATATATTGACAGTGCAAATAAGTTTAATTATCGTATTGCAATATACTAGAATTGTAAAAAATCCTAAATCTTATATCTTATATTTTAAAAATAATTAAAATATTATTACAAAAAATAGATATTTTACTCATTTTTGCGTGAAAAACATACTGTTTTAGTGAAAATTAAGTAATTGATTCAAATCTGAAGGGTCAATTAACATGCAGTTTCTCAAGACAACTGTGTTAACTGATTCTGTATGACATTCTTCTTTTTGTATCTCAACAGGAGAGGAAATATCTTCTTCGCTTGAAATGTCCAAGCATGTCTTTTGTTCTTTTATATGTGGCTGTATCTTATCCCAGTTTTCTGCATACCAACATAATAATGCATTTCGATTCCGTTTGGCAAGTCGGTCCAATTTGAGATCTAACTCTTTAGATAGATTGCCTGCAATGGATAGGAGGCTTAAGTACTTTACTTTTGTGCCGAATTCACGATCAATGTAGGCAGAAACAAAATCCATTTTGATTCCATTTTCACGAATTCTTTCAAAGATTTGCAGGTGATCTCTGATGTTCTTGGGCGAGTTGAATTTGTACTTCCTCAGCTTCCTGGTACTGATGATGTCCTCAATTATATTAAGCATTGATTTCAAATAAAAATATCTATCTCTATACAAATTTAGACGTCAAATTTTTGTATTGAATTATTAACATCTATTCAAAACTTTCAATGGAAACGTTATATAAAGGATTCTTTTCCATCTTTAGATTATTATACATAACTCTGGAAATGATTAATTGATAAACAAATAGTTATTCGACTTAAAATACATATCTTAATTTGATTTCCTCATATTTTCTTCTTATAGGAACTATCAAAACTCTTCCTCATCGTCCAAATATAAAAAGGCAAACCCAAATTTTAGCTAAAAATGACAGGGAAAAAAAAACGTTTAGTATTAAAAAAAAAGACCGATGAGAGCTTCGTTCGAAATATAGAGGGAACTGAGAATGCGCAACCATTCTCAGGGAATATTGGATGCTATTCCCGTTCCCTCTGTATGGAAAATTGAGGTTTTCAAAGGGAGTTAAAATAATATCAAATTTATACTAATTTACTTCAAAATACAAAAGTATTTGACAGCTAAAATTAGTTACTTTAGCAAGCCTATCAATACCCTTTTACGATTATTGCTACTTTTTCGAAATAAAAGTAAAAACAAATTTATACTAATTTACTTCAAAATACAAAAGTATTTGACAGCTAAAATTAGTTACTTTAGCAAGCCTATCAATACCCTTTTACGATTATTGCTACTTTTTCGAAATAAAAGTAAAAACAAATTTACACTAATTTACTTCAAAATACAAAAGTATTTGACAGCTAAAATCAGTTACTTTAGCAAGCCTATCAATACCCTTTTACGATTATTGCTACTTTTTCGAAATAAAATAAATTTATTATCAAAAACCTTTTTTTTCTTAGTAAAAATAAACGAAATTTTTTACCTTATGAACTTTTGATGGAAATATGCAAATTTAAAATAATAAAGAAAGCCGCGAGCGAAGCGATCGGCTTAGTTCGAAGATTTTGATTCAAATCTTTGCTGATCTGTAATTCGCGGAAGCCGCGAGCGAATCGAGCGGCTTAGGTCTAAGATTTTGATTCAAATCTTTGCTTATATTCCTTAAATTCTTTATGAAACTCGCAACAGTTCCATAAAAATTTTTAAATTCTAAACTGTCGAAATTACCGATCGGTAATCACACCCTTCACGGGTGTGTCACTTCTTACAGGCGTGTCACTTTTAGCTAAAATTACCCCTACTCGTATCACTAATTATTTGAAGAAGAAATTTGCTAATAAAGCAAGCATTAAGATTTACTCATTTTATTTAGTGGTATCTTTCTAGAGCGCATCAATAACTATTTGGCTGATGTTGGTGGGAAAAACATCAAATTATTTCTACCATCACAAAATCAAAAGTCTTAAACTCTTATCATTAATGTTTTCAAATGAAATATCGTGTAATTTTTTACAGATAATAAAAAATTCGAAATTCAGAATTTGAAATCAAATTAAATCAAATATTTCATGAATAATTGTTATTATATATTCAATTGTATACATAAATTTAATGCAATTAGAATGATTACTTGCAAGTAAAAAGATTTGATTAAAATTTTCAATGAAATTTTAGTTATCTCAGCATGATTTATGCATGCATTATGTCATATATAATATATATGCAATTTTTATAACATTTCGCATTAATCAACTTTGATCGTTATTAAAAAACATCGAATTTTAAAAAGATTTCATGATTTAAATACAACATAATATAAAAACAATACTTACATAAGAGATATTCTTAGAGGCTTGTTCTCGATCTGCAAACAACAGGAGAAACGATCAAAGCAGGCAGAGATCTATGTCTCATTGCTCGTAAATGGCTAATCATTGAATTCCTATGCGCTGGCTTGAAATCGAAATGAGGTGTTTTGAATAATGGTAATTCTAAGAGTTCGTCTATGGAAGGTCTTTCATTTGGATCCTTTGCCAAGCATTTCTCGATGACCTCTGCATAATCCTTGCATTGGATCAGCTCTGTTCTCGGTGGTTCCTTCAATAAATTGTCGCAAAGAGTTTTTCTGTCATCTCCTTCCCAAGGGAATTTACCTGTAGACATGATGAAGAATGTAACACCAATGGCCCAAACATCTGCTTTGAATGGATCATGCGGATGGCCAAGAATAACTTCTGGAGGCATAAATGGAACTGATCCTTCGCAATTCTCTTCAAGATGTTCATCTTGATGAATTGCAGAAAATCCGAAATCGCAGACTCTTATTCTGTCGTAGTTATCAATTAGGAAGTTTGCAGGCTTAATATCGAGATGAGCAACATTGAAGCGATGGCAAGCTTTAATTGACTTCAGAACTCCATAAGAGTACTTTAAAAGCTGCTCACGTGTTAATACGCGTTTCTTTCTGATGAATTTATCTAATGAAGTTGGACAAAATTCCATCATTAAATAAACTGAGCCGTCATAGTAGTCATAGTCATATAAGCGAACGATATTATTATTGTCTACTTCTTTCATGCAATCAATCTCGTTTTTATTGAATTTTAAGTGCAAATTCTCTGTTGTATGCTGGATCATATACCCTGTATACAACACCGAATGAGCCTGCACCAAGTACATCTCTAAATTGGAGGTTTTTCATTTGCAAGTAACATTCGTCTCGTGCATTCATAATAGAAATAGCAGAAGATTTTTATATTGAATTTTCTAAATTGAGAAATTGAAAGGAAAGCAATGGAAAATTTTAGAAATGGCTTGATAATTGTTACCATATTATATGAAATAAAATGTTTTATATTTGTTTGGACCTTTGAATTTAATAATTGAGAGTTTTGATAAGAAGTAATGATTTAAATCAAAAGTTGCATTAATGTAATTAACAAAAATATAGGAATAGCAAGGGTTAGAGCCTATTTCAATTTTTTGAATACTGATAGAAAAATTAATTCGGTTATTTTTGAGCACAAATGCATTACGAATGGAAACAATACACAATTTGTGATTCGGGGAAAATATTAATTGTAAAATTCAGAATCTATAAATTTCATATAGGATGAAAATATAGAATCTAATTGCGATTTAGGTGAAATTTTAATTTATAAAATTTTTCTTGAAAATATTAAATATTATAAAAACGATTAGACATAATGATGATATGAAAATGGATTACATTGATTTTTTAAAAATTCAATGCAATCTTCTCTCAGCAATTCAAAAATTGCAAAATGCTACAGTTCAACACAGTTTCTTTAAGTACACTCTAATGACATTTCGAATTTAACATTTTTTTGATTCAATTCATTCAATTGATGAATCATTTTCGTTTTTATTATATAACATTTGTTTATCATTATTCAGATGAATTTCTAAAATTTAAATTGTATGGTTTACAAATTTTTAGACTTAAATAACATTAATTGGTTCTAACATATATTGTGCGCCTTTTGATATTGCACTTGAATTCTCCCAAAACTTGCAAGATTCTCCCGAACAAAAATAATTTAACTTCAAGATTTGGCCAATTTTCATATAAATATTATTATCAAACGCATATCAATTTAATAATAGAATTTTAGGATGTGAAAATTGAATATTACAGTTCAATTTATTTCCTAAATTTTTACGACTAAAGTTATCCTTAATAAATATTATGCCACTCTTACTCAAAACGTACTTTCTCCTAGAATATAACACATCCATCTATCTGTCTATATACTCTTTTAAAATGTAAGTTACTACAATTACTGTTACCGTCAAAAATAAAGAGATCTTTTTTAATTTTGGTTAACATTCGATGAGTAAGAAAAACTAAGTCTTAAATAAAAAAGCCTATCTGAATTCTAACAAGCCTTTAGCAATTATTAACATTTATTATTAGTCTGGGAATAATTCTTTAATAATTTCTTTGACTTCATCAGGCAATTCCTCTGGAAAATCAATTTCTAACTTAACTACTAAATCACCACGCTTTCCATTTGATTTGATCCATCCATGATCCGAAATTGAGAAAGAATCGCCAGGTCTAACAATTTTATTAACAGGGAAGTTGATATCTGTTCCATCAAGATCTTTTCGGGTAATAACAAAGCCTGAAAGTGCAGATTTAAGTGAGATCTTTTCAGTCGTAACTAAATCATCGCCTTGTCGTTTGTAAATCGGATTTGATCGCTCCTTAATAGTGAATATTACATCTCCTGCAGGTCCATTACTGTTTTGATCGCCTGTGCCTGTAGATACAATTTTTGTTCCTTCTTTTGATCCTGGTGGTATCTTTACTACGATTTCTTTCTGCTCTTGAGCACCTTTGACGGTTCTCGTAACAAGTAATTTCTTTTCGCAGCCTGTAAATAGTTGTTCGAGAGTGCAAGAAACTGAAAGCTCAATTGGCGGTGGAGATCTTGGTCCTGTAGGTCTACGATCAAATCTTCTGAATCCGAAGTCCTGCTCATCATCAAAATCTTGACCGAAGGGGAAATTGAATCCTGTGAATCCGAATTGAGGGAATGATCCGAAGCCACCACCTGGCCCGTTATCTCCCATGAAATTACCGCCAAAGAAAGCTCTAAAGAGGTCATTCGGATCAACAAAATGTGAAAATCCGCCGGAACTACCTTGATTTGATGCAGCTTCTTCACCAAACTGATCGTACAATCGTCTTTTCTCTGGATCGCTTAATGTCTGGTATGCATCGGAGATATCATGAAACATTTTTTGCGCTTCTTCTTGATTATCTGGATTTTTATCTGGATGCCATCTCATTGCCTGTTGTCTATACGCTTTCTTGATGGATGATTGATCAGCATCTCGAGGAACGCCGAGAATCGCGTAAAAATCTCTTCCCATCTGATTTTTTTTATGGCAAAACTTTGATTAGGAATTTTGGCCGGCTAACAAACATACTGATAATTGTCCTTCATCTATCGGCGCGTAGCGCCGCTAGATGATATATATATAGTGATTGTCTGTTGCTGAAACATAAAATGATTAAGAATCAAAAACCATTTCTAAAAATGTATTTTTTAAGACTTATTTTTGATAGTTTTCACTCAAAAATTTTCATCATATTTGAAAGAGTGCGGGACAAATTTGCCAAATGTCACCTTTTCAATAACCTTAAATTACGCTTTTCTATTTTTTTTAAAATAACCTTAAATTATATTTGAAGAAATTATGTCTATGATATATGTTTTATGCTAGAATCTTGGAGTTTTCATGCACTACACAAGAGCTCCAAGGTTCCAAGAGTGAATGCTCAATAGCAATTATAGAGATGTACCTTTTCAAAATGACTTTTACTGATTAAATTTAATCAATAGAAGACATTTTGAAAAGGTACCTCTACAATTAGATATACAAGAGATTCAAAGCTTCATTTCAGATAGATTTGAAACTTTGAAACTCTTGGTAGATTTTGGGTGAATGCTGACAATCATCTTTGAGAAGGTTTTCTTAAAGAAAACCTTCTCAAAGAGGTTTCTCAGGAGCCCTGAGGCTCCCTTTCGTAATGATTGGGAGCCTTGGGGCTCCTGAGACGAAGAATGGCTTCGCCGAATTTTTGATCAGCAGAGGCCAAATGAAAAGGCCTCTGCTGATGGATTCTCAGGAGCCCTGAGGCTCCCTTTCGTAATGATTGGGAGCCTTGGGGCTCCTGCAGCAGAGTATCGCTCCGCTCCATTAATTTTTTTTAAAAAAGTGCCGTGTGGCAAATTTGTCCTGTTCCCTATTTGAAATAATATCATATTCTTAATCTGAGCTATTTGATTGGCGCTTTGCGCCAATCAAATAGCGAAGAAAATGACTTTTCAAAATATTTATTAATAATTTATTATCAAAAGTCAAAAATCAATTAGAGATTATTATATTACAACAAATTATGAATCGTAATGTTGCATGCTAAGTAGTGTCAATGTGTAAACCTCTCAATTTTATCGTCGGGGAAGCAACACAATTCCCTCAAAAATATTGAAAAAATATAGAAAATAAAATGAATTAAGATGTACTTAAAATGAGAAATAGATTATGATATTAGATTTTAGAAAAAACAGACTTTTGATATAACTTTTGAGAATCTCATATAAAAAAAGCATTTAAAAATAAATTTAAATATCTTATTTATTTTACTATTGTAAATATATTCTGAGATTTTTTAGAAAAAAACACTTTTCATAAGTATTCAATATTTGAGAATACGGTCCAAAAAAAATAGATTCTCTTATATAAGCAAATCTTTTTCATGAGTTATTGTTAATATAAAAACATAAAAAGCTACCAATATGAGAAATTAAACCCTGCGAGGTGCCAGTCTAGAACTGGCGCTTCGCAGGGTTTAATTTCTCTTGACAAATGACAAAACTTGTTCGCAATTGTGAACCATTGCGAGCAAGTTTGCCAGATATCTGGAAGGAATTGCTCCTTATGATATATGCATTGTAACTGTATATATCATAAAGAGCAATTCCTTCAATTAAACGCAAAAACTTTGGTGCAATCGTTGCTGATTGCACCAAAGTTTTCGAACTTTCCCGAGGGAATTGGAGGGTGAGAGATACATAGTCTATCTATGTACCTCCCACCCTCCAAATCCCACTCTAAATGGGAGAAACTTTGTTCGCATGTTATCTTATTCAAACAAAGTTTCTCCATTTAGAGAAGGAATAGGAGCCTACCAGGCACTGATATATAATCAGTGCTTTGTAGGCTCCTATTCCTAATAAAAATTTGAAAACTTTGGAGCATTTGATTATTGTATTTTGTCAAGAGAAATTCAACCCTGCGAAGTGCCAGTTCTAGACTGGTGCCTCGCAGGGTTTAATTTCTCATATTGGTAGATTTTGATGTTTTTATATTAACAAAAACGAATGAAAAGATTTGCTTATATAAGAGGAAACTCTCTATCAGAGGTGCTGAATTCAGGCATTCGCATCTGATAGAGAGTCTCCTTTTATATAAGCGAATATAAAAGAATCTATTCTTTTTTGGAGCGTATTTTCAAATATTGAATACTTATGAAAAGTGTTTTTCCTAAAAATTTAATATAATGCTTAGCACAATATATAAAATTAAAATATCTATAATTATTTTCTATATCACACTTTTCATTACACCTTGAAAAGTGTTCTCAAACTCTATTTTTAATTATTTTTTAGATATATCTCAAGTGTGATTATTCAAAAACTCATATAGACTATATTTATTTTTTTCATTCAAAAAATTATATGAGAATCTCAAATTAACTTTCAAATTTTTTATTTTAAAAACATATTAATAATCATATTTTAAGATACTTTTTCGCCCAAAAAATAATCGTACTTCCTCGACGATTAATATGCTCTCAATTTCTATCGTTGACACTACTTAGCATGCAACAGTAATTCGTTAAAATAATTGTGCCGAACAAACAACTAAAATTGTTCTCAAAATTTTATTAGCGGCGCGAAGCGCCACTTCGAAAACGATAGACAAAAAGTGTCTGAAAAATTGAGAGAAATGCTGCATTTTCATTTCACATTTTCATCATTTCTTAACCAGACTTTTCAATCAAACTTCTAATGCATCACATTGAACTAATGACTTATTGGAGTGCCAGTATACTTTAAAAGATTTTTAATATGTTCATGTAGTTTCAATTTAATTTTAAAAATTCTAAAATTTTAGATTTTAATCTCTAGCAAGTTCTTTGTCATCATATACTTAATTAGTCTTTAGCTTTACAGCTCCTAAATATCATTATAAATTACAAACTTTCGAATTTAATATTCAAATCAATATCTATGATCGCATCGATATCAAATTACTAAATAAAACTATTAGATTTTCAAATATATTACAATTTTTTGTTATAGCTAAGCTCCAATTTTGTCAATTATCACGCCAATCTAATGCCTTACCGAAGTGTATTCATTTCACAACAAATTCTTAATAAATTCTTTGCTTTCAATATTTCATTTGAAAAATCTCTAAAATCTCAAATTGTTCTCTAAATTACTTCGATTTAGCTAAAAGTCTATCTTATATTTTACATAATAATCTTTAAAATATAATATTAATCACTCACAATTAAATTTATTTGTATAAACTCATTTCCTATAATCATAATATGTTTATTTTGCCGAAGTTGGCTAGGCTTGCCGAAGGGCAAGCCTAGCCAACTGAGTCCCGAAATTATATTATATCATATTTGATTTCTTACCTAAAGAATTGTTGCATGTTTATACATTCACCCTACAGATTATTACACTTTATTTAATTCATTCTGACAAAAAGCTTCATGACATGCTTGTTCAGATATAGTCTCTAAAATTGATCAAACAGATATTCACTAAAATTGAAATTTGGGAGGGAATCCAGGATTCATCAGACTCAACAGCGCGATTCCAATAAAATTTACCACAATAATTTTCAAAAAGATAACGACTGCATATTCCAAAGAGCTTATAAGTATATCTCTTTATTTTGATACCGAATGTAAATAATATATCTCATCATTTTAAATTATTCAATAATAGGAAGGTTTAACCAATGACACTGCGATTACCTTCCAAATTATTTTCTGCTCTCTATGTAATATCTGGTAAATTTTAGATCGAAAAAATTCACGACTTTACAATAAATGAGTCTAAAAATATTTCAAAAATTGAAATTCGATGAGTTTGAGCACAATTAAGTTGTAAGAGCTAGTTCCTTTTGTGCACACAGTAAGATCTACTAGGAAAGTATGTAAACCATTTAGAAAACATAAGATATACATTAAGATGATTCAGTTTGAGTTAACATCATTTTTTTAATCGAGAATAAAATAAAATTTTTGAACTTTTTTTTCAACGACACCAATTTTTTTGGGAATAGCATTTCAGCATATCCCATCATATGAATTGATTATTTATTGATTTTTTATTGGGACAATTGAACAATTGTGATGAAATATATTTTCATGAATTAGATGTTTCAATATAATCCTGCTTTCCTATATAGAAAAATCATGTATTAGATAGTGGTGAAATATTAATTGATAGAATCTAGCTTTTCAAAACATTTCGATTTACATTTGGAATGAATGAGAGTCATATTATAAACTATACAACGTTTCTATGAACTAGATTTTATAAATATGAAATATAATTTGTATGTCACTCAATTTTCAGTATAAATACCTTCAAGTCCAATTGGAAATCTCATATTTTCATTCTTGAGAATATATACATATTGTGATTTAGTATAAAATCATTTGTTAGTTAATACTTGCATTATCAATAGGGTCAGTATAAATGGAAACAGATTTGTTTTCAATTAGAGTTCAGGATGATTAATATATTAAACCTTATGATCACAATGAGCTTTAAATGTTGAGATAAATAATGTTTAAGTCTAATTATCATCAGAAATAATCGATATGGCTTGAAATTTCATATGAGTTCCAAAATATCGCAAAAGATTGATTTCTTTATGATTTTATATATTGAAAATATGTGATATAATGGGTTTATGAAGAATAATGCTTTCGATGGGACGATTGGATTTGGGAAATTTAGGATTATTATATTTATTAACAGATATATCATGGTTATAAGCATCTGATCATACAGTTCATTATATTCATAATGAATGTAATATTTCCAATTCCGCAATTTTTTACGAAAATTTCCGCTGATTGAGAGAGAGATGTCAGAAAAAAAAGTTTGTTTTAAATTTATATCTGATCAAAATTAATATAGATTAAGCAAACATTGCATTATATAGAAGAAATTTAAAATGTTAAGAAAATCATATGAAAGAAATGTATATGTATAGATATAATAAACGTAATTAAAGTGTATTTAGTAAAAATAAATTCCAATTCAAAAACTCGAATTCTATACTGTTGATTGGGATGAATATAAAATATCGTTTTCGTCAAAATAATATAGAGATATGTATTTACAATTGTTATTACCTGGTGTAAATTGATTGTGATGAATGCGAATATTGAATGCATAATTCAAATATGCCGATAATTCTCAAATAGCGTAATGAATAAAATGATGCATTGGTTTCGCCTCATTAGTATCCCATGATTCTTCACAAAATTAAGGGTGGCTTCCGACCAAATTGTCACTTTTTACCCCAAGTGAGAAAATTTCGTAATTTATAACCAAGTTTTTTAAAATCTATATTTAATAAAGATTCTATTTTTCTTATTAAATTTCAAAAATGAGGGGGTTCGGAATCGTCCACACATTGCCGAAAGGGTTTTTGCCAGTTTTGAATCCGCTTATTTTTATCGACCCAAATTATAAATATGATTTTCGATAAGTATTCTACCCAAATGATTGTTTAAAAAAATTATTTTTCGGATTTTATTCCGTAAAAAAACGTGACAGAAAACGCTTAGAAAATTTGGAATTTTCCCTAAAAAATTCAGTGCAGGTCGATTTAAGAGATTTTTCAAAAATAATCATATCAGTAGATAGGGTATAATATAGAGGAGCTTTATGAATAACTCAAAATCCGGGAAACTCAATATTCAACGAGAAAAACGCTTAACGAATCTCACTTTTGGTGTAAACATCACAAAAAATTGAGAGAGATTTCTGGTCGGAAGCCTCCCTTAAATATACTGAGGACGAGGTTCTTTATAAAAATTTATACAGTGCGAAATGTTTATAAAATTCTGGATAACTTTGCACGATTTTCATCGAAATTATTTCAATATGATGCAAATCGAAAACATTTCTAACAAAACTAATAATATACATTTGTATTCTATAAAAAGCTTATTTCTAAATCTAATTACAAAATTTACAGTTTAATTGAAATTAATTTTACACGGGAATTACCATTAAGATATTGAAGATATTATCTATAATTACAGAGCGAAACATTTTCTGATTACCCTCAAAAAGATATAAAAAAACCACAAAAATCAATACAAAAATTGTGAACATTTTTAAATGAATTGAATAGTCCGCTCGGAACGTTAAATTACCTTTCTGTAGAAAATGGCAAATCTTCAAAATCAAAACAATATATTTTTCTCTATTCCTTATTATAATCCTAAATTACTTGATTTAAAATGGCCTGCTAAAAAAAATTCAGTGACTTTTCATTTTATTCAATTTTCAATTATATTGGTAAATGTTTGAGGATATAGAGCTCCAACTAGATGCACATGGTTATTCCTGCCTTCGCTACATCAATAAGGGTGCCTTTGGATCTTGCTACTTGGTTTTTAGTCGAAAGTACTACTGTAATTTTGTTTGCAAAGTGATTTCTGGTCTTTGCGTAGATGAATCTTTTCTCCAAAATTATCAAAGAGAGGTTGATGCACTTAGCCATTTGAACCATCCTAATATTGTCAAAATATATGAAGTTTTTTCGACCGACAATTCTCTTTTTATGATCTTAGAGTACTGTTCTGGAGGTAACTTACTTGAAGCTATCTTAAGGGTGCACCCGTATGTACGTTTATTTGAGAGGAGGAGGATTACCCTCTCAATTTTGAGGGATTCGTTAGTTTATTTTCTCGATGAATATGCAATAAAATTTGATTTTTACCTTATCAATATACTTCATATAATATACACATGTTCATGTAAAAACTTTTTTCCAAAATCCTCAGGAATTAAGGGATTTTTGAATTTTAAGAATTTTTTTCGAATTTTTTCGAAAAAAAAATATTTTCAGAACAGCCTTAACGGCTAAGATTTAGGAACAATGTTAAGTATCAAAAAGAAAGGAGGTCTGATATAGACAACATATATCGTTGAAGGTTGAAAAAATCTCTAATATTTGAGCCCAAAATTTCAAATTTTAATTTTTTGAAAAAAGAGGCCACCCGTATGTACGTTTATTTGAGAGGAGGAGGATTATATTTTTGAAAGGGTGAAACATTATGAATATGTTAATTATATAATAATATGTATTATTATAAAAAAGAAAAAATAAAGCACGTTAAAAATTTTCTTTCTTGATTTTTTACAAAATCTACTTAGAATTATGCAAAATATGACTAAATAATTATAAATTTCAAGTTAAATTTTAATTTTGATAAATAATTTAAATTTCAAAATATCAAGTTCAGTTCGACTATGTATGTAGTAATTCCTCAATAAAGTGCCAAAACTCTATTAAAATATATGAACATTTTCAACATTTTAATGTTTTTATTTAAAAATTTGATGGAATATGAGCTTCAAACAATTATTATGTAAATAAAAATAATTAAATATATGTATTTATTCGTATTACAACCGTAGTAAGTCGATTCTTCCTTTCTTCTACTGAGTTTTGAATTTGATTTCGAATTGTAAAGAGATTCAAAGGGAAAATACTAGCGGATAAAAACTACCTCCATGAAAGGGTCATAATGGAGTCAAGTTGTATTTTTTGATATTTTTTGCTTTTCGAGCCTAAATAGGTAGCCAAGATAATGCCTAAAAATAAGGTTCTAAATTCTGAAGTTTACATGATCCTCTCGTGTGCACCCTTAATGGGCAAGAGAGTTCCAATAAAAACTGTAACAAAGTACTTCACAGAGATTTCTGATGCTCTTTGTTATATGCATGATCAAGGCATTGCTCATTGTGACATAAAATTATCCAACATCCTGATTGACTCCTTTGGGAGAGCTAAGTTATGCGATTTTGGTCTTGCTCAGTTCCTCAAAAATGCAAATCGCATAAATTCAACTAAAATAAGAGGAACTTTAAGTTACATGTCTCCAGAAATTATGGCCGGAAAGGGATACGATCCATTCAAAGCAGATGTTTAGTCATTAGACGTCACATTCTACTCATTGGCAACAGGACATCTTCCTTTCGGAGGAAAGAATCTGGAATCAATTCTCAAAGAAATCAAACTTGGTTATGAGACGATAAGTATTGTTGATATAGGCTTCAGAGATATAATAACAAGCTGCATGACTTTTGATCCTAACGAACGTCCAACAATGAGACAAATCAAATTCAGATGTATTGAAGCTTTTAGAGAAACAAGCAGCTTGAAGCCAAAGTCCATAAGTATTTTCTTTGGTAAAAAGAATACTCAAAGCGTTGTTAATGGACGCAAGAGATTGATTAGAATGCCTTCACTTCCAAAATTATAATATGTTTCTTTTGTTGTTTTTATATATAAATGATTGATATATTAATACTTCGAAAACAATTTTTAAAATCAATCAATTAGAAAAGATCATGAATTTTAAAATTAGCATTAATTATAAATATTATGAACTAAATCAATATATATTTCATTTATTTGCTCAGATAAATATCCAATTTTTATTAATATTAAAGAAAAGATGACTGCAAAATAAAAAAACCGTGGATGATATAAATTATCCTAATAAATTAATTTAAAAGTTGATGACTTGCTATTATCAATGAAATTTTCAAATATTTCAACAAAAATAGAAATTCTCACATTCGCGAAATAATGTCAAAATGCATTCAAATAGCTAACATAGCATGCATTACTAGATTGTAAATTAACGATAGCTGTATTTTAGTAATTAGGATATATATCATTGATCAGAAGATATTTTTGTTCAATTCTTGAAGTCATTTTATTATAGATCATAAACCACCTGATATGTTGTAATGAATTAGAAACATAAAAATCTGATTTTGAACAAGGAAAAAACTATCAAGAAAAAATGTTGAAGAAAACACTTTTAAACGTAAGAAATCCCTTTGGATATGATATCTATATCTAAATTTATAAAAATTATTAATATCGAACATGTTGAGGAAATTGTATTACGTTTCAAAATTTTATACAAATTGAGAAGATTGAGAAGAACATCGAGATTGAAATTAATTTGTGATGGTTTCAATTCCGATTACAGGAAATAACATGGATTGTAATAACTGCATTCTACATAATGTATAATCTTACATTTTTGAAAGGAGGAAAAATGGCTCAGAAATATCAATTTACTTTGAATTGTGCTGAAAGTAAGAAATCAGAATGAGATATGGTTCTAAACGCTATTTTCCTAAAAATCAAAAAGTATTAAGCATTTTTTAAAATCGAATATTGCAATGTATAGTATATTTTATGATCATGAAGATAAAGTGATTAGAAAAAATCCTCTCAAAAACTCAAAAAATGATCTCAAATAATTTGAATGATTTTTCCCAACTTTAGTTTTAAGAATATACCAGTAAACGAATTTACGACACGAATAATATGAAACAGCATTTGTAGTCTAATTGAATACTGCCTTCAATTCTATGGTTAATTTGCATAATGGCTGCTCATATATAGTATAATCGATATTATCTTCAATAAAAAATGAAATTAATAAATTGAATACCTTGATTTTTGTGTTAGTCACAATTATTTGAATGTTTCTAACCGTTTACCCACAAATAAATTGTTGTGACATTTAAACTTCTGAGACTTTTTTTACTTCAAACTTGAAAATATTAATCTAAGTATACTTTTCTCCAATATCCTTGATTTTTTAATTTTTCAAGGCTCTTCTCAAATTAGGTGTCTGAATAGTTGGTTCATTTTTCAATATAGATGATTAGCATAGTCAACGAGATCTTAAACAAGCATGACTACAACATGATTAGTTATATCTCTAAGGGATCATTCGGATCCTGCTACCTCGTCTATAGCAAGAAGTACAAAATGCAATTTGTTTGCAAAGTCTCATCATGGCATACATTCGATGGAATCAACAAGCAATCATTTGATAGAGAAGTTAAGGCCCTCACATCCTTAAATCATCCAAATATTGTTAGAGTTTATGATGTCTTCACAGGTTTGAACTACTTATTCCTTATTCTTGAGTTCTGCAGTGGTGGAAGCCTCTTAGATCTTATCAATTCTGGTAAGAGAATCCCAGAAGCTGACGTTATTAAGTACTCCCGTCAAATTTGCGACGCTCTCTCCTTCATGCACGAAAAAGGTTTCGCTCATTGCGATATCAAACTCTCAAATGTACTCATCAATGATTTTGGCAGAGCCAAACTCTGCGATTTCGGCCTTACTCAGTTCATCAATCAAAAAACCGTTGAAGTTTCTGAGGAAAACGATGACGAATGCTCTTCAGAATCCTCTTCTAAATCATCACAGGTTGCCGGAACACTTAATTTCATGGCACCAGAGGTCATGATGCAGCAACCATATGATCCATTCAAAGCTGACGTCTGGTCATTCGGTGTTACATTATATTGCCTTGCCACAGGTCGCCTTCCATTCCGCACAACAAGCTACGAAGTTCTTGTTTCTGACTACAAGAGAGGTCTCGATACTCGTCGTATCAGCAACAACGACTTAAAGGAAATCATAACGATGTGCCTCGAATTCAGCCCAGAGGTTCGCCCAACAATGAAGCTTGTTATGAAGAAGGTTTCCCAGCGTTTCCATGAAGCAGCTTCAATGAAGCCAAAGGCTTTCTCTGTTCTTGGAAATGTTGCTCGTGCTCAGCTCATCAATGGAAACAGAAGACTTAGAAATGCTCCAAAGACTATTCTTTTATAATTTTGTTATTTATATAAATTGTTTGTATGCGCTTTATTTTAATTCAAAACTTTTTATGAAGTATCTACTGGTCATTCAAGTATCAAAAGATGTCCAATTGTTATGGAATTACTTCCAATGGCTTGTATGATCATGTTACGAACAACAATTGATATTTCAGATCATATCATAGCCAGATGCAGAACTTGTAAATGAGAAAAAAATATTCCGGTGAGAAATGATTTCAGATTTTAGTTATTAAAATGATATATATCAATTCATCAGGAATTTTTTTTGTAGATTTTTTTTTGAGGGATGACGAATCAGGGAATAAAAATAGTTTTAATTGGAGATAGTATGGTTGGAAAAACATCAATAATTAAAAAGTACCAAGACGAAGCATTCGATGGTAATGTTTCTTCAACAATCGGATCAACAATTTCATCATTCGAGAAGGAAATTAACTCCAAAAAAGTTAGGCTTGATCTTTGCGATACTGCTGGACAGGAAAGATACAGAAGTCTCGGACCAATATATTACAGAGATGCAAAATGCGCACTTGCAGTATTCGATATTACAAAATTAGAATCTCTTGAATCATTAGATACATGGATAAGTGTTTTTAAAGAGTCAACCGAAAACGCATTTGTATATATTGTGGCAAATAAAAGTGATTTGAAAGATCATGTGGCAATGACCATGGAAACAATCAAAAAATTTGCGGATGATCATGATTCGAAGCTTTTCTATACATCAGCACTTACTGGAGAAGGTATCAATTCGCTAATTAATTCATTGTTTTTGCACTTTTCTACTGATCACTCTAAAGAGAAAGGAGTAGATATTTCTCAAACCAAGAAGAATTCTTCTTCATCTTGTTGTTAAAAATTAATTATGTTTGCAAAAAAATTTCTATTTTTTGTATTTTCATCTTTTTATATCTTGCATTCAGAGAACACTGAACGAGTTTTTATCTTTCCCCTAATATCTCAAGATCTAAGCTAAATTTCATATTGAAGAAATAGCAAAGCAAGTGGAAAGTTGTTCCAAAAACATGTATTGTATTTGCCTATGAGTAATTTGAAAATTTCATACTGATTTAATGTCTAATAACAGTTTAAGAAATATGAAAAGATGAAAAACTCATTTTTAAGCTGGATATATTGATGTGTCAATCATCAAACATAATTTGAAACACATTTTTCTGATTCATCCGTCAAAAAGGTCGAATGATGAATGATCCATTTGTTGGAGTTGCATTAGCTTCTTTCGATCTGGCTTGCGGAATACAAATTCTTGAGAAATGGTTTGCAAAAGGTGATCCTGCAGAAGGATCTCTTGAATCTCTCTTCAGATTACTTCTTGCAAATGTTCATAGACAAAAAGATAATGCATATTCATCATATGTAACATCAATTATTGAATTACAAAGCTACAATTGGTATGTTGTTGCTACTCTTTTCTCAATTACACAAAACCAGAGAAAAACCTTTTACGCATTAACACTAATTTTAGATACACACCATATTCCTAATTACAGGAACTCCATTAAAATTCTGTCACAACACTCATTATACCTTGCAGCTGCAGCGAAATCCTCATTTACGAATAATTTTCCCTTGAAGAAGTTAGAAAGATTCATACAACCAATCCATCAACAATGCATTGATTACTTTTCATCATCGATTGAGCAAATTCCAGATTTTGAAATCTTTCCAGGCGATTTACGTTTTTATTCGCTTGTTCTCTCTTCTCACTTAGCGACACAAGTGATAACTATAATTGAATCCGATGATGATACAGAAACATACAAACTCGCCTCCTTTTTGGCGAACTTTTTACTTCCGAATCAACTTATTCACTCTTCTCTTAAGATTAGTGACAAAATTACACCAGGATTATTCCTACAATGCGTTTCCAAGCAGAAAACAGACATAGTTGACATATTCCTGGCTTCAGCACACCCAATAACATACGTCAGAATGTCAGAAAGGAAAATCTTTACTACATCGGCACCAGAAAAGCATCTCCCTGCGTACAAACAAGCAACGGAAGCATCTTTCCTCGAAGATATCACTAAAAGGAGGAGATTAACAGCGATCAAAGCTCAATACAAGAATCAGATCATAGAAATAACAGCTCCAGCACCATGGATATCTACAATGCTGTTAATAGTGACACAGATGCCAGAAACATGTCACAGTTTGCTTTGTAAAGAGCATTTCGACGTAATAATGCGAATAACATTCGAACTTATCAATCTTATCGATGAGAAGACGTACAAAGGAATTAATTCACTGACACCTGAAAATATTGGAGAGATAATCAAAGAACTAAAATTTACTGGAAAAGATGACTTCATCTTCTTCGCTTCTTTGGCTCAGATGTTCGAACCAGCTATATCACGTAAGATACCACTTAGTAGGCGTTAATCTGTATGTTTTAAACTTTTTTTTTGTTTGTATTTAAATAAAGTTGCCAATTATCTTCATTTTTATAGTTAACTTTCTTAATCTAAGCATATCATACCAGCAGGATATCCAAAGAATTGCCGATCTGGTATTTTTTCCATCTCTAATATACTTTTATTTTATCTGATATAGTATCACAATTATATTCTGGATCATGAGGATCTCGATTAGGGGGAACAATGATTGGGTAGACTGTAATACCTTCACTTATTTTTATTCTGTCTGAACACTATATTTTTTCGACCTTATAGGAACTACGATTATTTTTCATTCAAATGTAAATTTTTCTACTTAACAATTTTGCGAACATACGCATATACTATAAAAATTTGAAAAATTTATTTGGTAAATTTTAATGATTCAATTTTGAATAGTTTACAAATTTGATTTTATTAGATATCAAATGTTCCATTTGATGCTTGGCATTACTTTTATCAAGAAGATGATCGACCAAATCATATTACATGCAGTAACTGCCAACCAACAGCCACAGAACAAGAGTGTTTTGTCCTGCTCAGTTTCTTCTTTGACTACAAAGATAGTGCCATCAAATATTCATCCGACGACATCAAAGTATTACATTCAGAATGCAACTTTCAAAATTACACGAGCACAAATATTGGTGGCAGTGTTTATTTTTACTGCAAAAGTTCTTTTGTTCAACACAAAATCTGCTCTTTATTATCACAAACAACTAACACTGGTACAGAAGGAGGTCATCACTCCCATTCATATTGTAACGATCCAAACAATTTTAATTTTGTCCATGATTCGTCGATTTTTCTTTGTGGCAATGAAATATCTCGAAAAACTCTATCTCTATATTACGGAAATACTTCAATTCGATCCACAAATATCAGTCAATGTACAGGAGAGGCCCATTCTAGTTATGGCGTTTATCCATCAACAGAAGCATCAATTTCACTTTGTACAATTGAAAATAATACAGTCAAACAATATATAGTATTATTTCATTCTAATTATAAAACAAATTTTGTTTCTTTTTGCAACATTTTGAAAAACAAACAGAGTACAACAGATAATGGAATAATTTATTGTTATGGAATTATAACAATTGAAAACTGTTCTATATTTGGAAATAAAGGTCCATCAGGATTTAATCTTTTTTCCAATTTTGAATCAAATTCATTTACAGTTAAAAATTGTTATGTTCAGAGTACTCCATCTATTCCAGATAATGTTAAAACTGAAAATATCAATTATGAAGAAAAATATTTAAATTTATCACACTTATCTACATCTAAATGCGAAGCTCTAATTCCTATAGTTAATAATTATGAAAATAAAATAATAAACATCGAAGATGACACATTTGATCCAGAATATATTAAATTTATTCGATCTTTAGTTGTTCCTTTATCTTCTGCTAATAAAAGTTGAACACATTGATTTAAATGTCTCATTATTTATTGTTTATCGAAATAATGCTTTTTTCTTTAAAATATAATTTCTAATTATTAAAACTTCGAAATCAAACATAATTTTTCATCAAAATGAGATCAGAAATATATTAATTCCTACATTCAATCATATATATTATATCATCATATTTTTTAATTAATAAAATTAAATTTTAAATGTTTTTCATCGATTAATATGATTACAATCCTAGATGAAAATCGATAGATGATACATGCACAAAATGTTAAAGAAACATAGAAAAAGTAAAACATAAATAAATTTTAATAAACAAAAAATAGAAATAAAAAAAATAAAAAAATTATGGTTCAACAATATAAGTGAACATCTTATTCCCTTTGACATCAATTTCACCACGTTCTTTGATGTCAAACTGTTGACCATATATAAGTTCGTAGACTGGACGAGAAATGTGGACTTTCATTGCAACACCGTGATGTTCCATTTCATGTGAGATGTTGATTGCTGGACCTAAGATTTCGAATGTTGGTTTCTCTGTCCCAATGATGCCGGCAACAATAGGACCACCGGTGTTAACACCAACACGGATTCGAAGATTTTCATTCTCACGTTCATCAATTTCAATAAGTTTCTTGATAACACAACAGCCGAAATCAACAACTTCTTTAGAATGAACTGCTGGCTGATTAACTTCATCAAAGATGCCACCAGCAGCCATGTAACAATCACCAATGCACTTGATCTTAGTCATGGTCTTATGGGAATTAGTAATAGCATCAAACTCTTTGAACATGATGTTCAACATTCGCATGACATAACTAGCATCGTGTGAACCACACCATGGCGTGAACTCAACAACATCAAGGAAAAGAACACTCGCGGATTGGACTGAGAATGAGATGTTCTTCTCACCACTTTGAACACGTGGAACAAGCATTGCAGGTAAGATTGATGCAAGCATAGCATCGCTCTTCTTCTTCTCGTCGGCAATCATCTTCTCGTGGAGGATGTTTGACGTGTTGTTGTGGCCACTGAAGATTCGTCGACCGGAGACAACTGTTGTGTTGAATTCAAGATAAAATTTTTCGTTGTCTTTGTTAGTGTAAACAAGGTTAGTCTTTTGTGTGAAAACTTTAGAAACATCACCTTCAAACTTAGAATCAATAAAGAAATCTTTGATTTGCGTGTTTTCGATTTCTTCTTGTTTGATGTTGAAGAGTTCTTCGAATGAATGATTCACGGAGATGATCTTGTTAGTTTCTTCTTGGCAAACAATAACAATTTCGTTCAGTTTGTTCACAATCTCATTTGAGAATGAGTTGTGTTTGTCGGTCAAATCTTCGTTCATGAAATTGTAATTACCACTCAGTAAATCCATAATTCGCTTGTTGTTAAGGATTGAATTAGGTGGACATCGCAAGAAAAGTTTCAGACAGAACTTCAAGTGTTCGTTCTCTTTCTTGGTAGAAATGATGACAAAAATAGAAATAATGAATGTGATGACAATGAAAAATGCTGCATAGATCTCTAAATAATCACCTTGTTTCGAAATACCGTCCAAAATAATAGGAACAATCAAATCACCGGCTGGACCAAAAAATGTTTCGTAAAGTTCAACAGGACCAATCTGCCAAAGTTGACTCAATGCCATTTCACTAGCATTAGGATATGTAACTGGTTCGGTCTGCATGTTAGATGTGTACTTCTTAACAATAGATGTGGAGATAAGGAACTGTTGTGCAACTGAGAAACAGTGACATGATTCAATAACTGGTTTAGGAGGTGAATAAACACCATGACAAACAAGTTCGTTTGATGCGCGGATGATTTCTTTCTCCATCTGTGGGAATGGAACTTCGCGTGGATCTGGCGAGCCAAGTCTGATCATCTGGAAATTGTTGACAAGTGTTGGCAAGTTGTTATTAAGATCGATCAAGTCTTGTGTGATGTTGACAATAGAATTTTCAAAAATTGTGTCGTATTTAGCTAATGCAATCTTCAGAAGTGTTCCAACAACGGTGAACATGAATGAGTTGCTGCCGAAAACGTAATTGATGTGGTTAGAGTTGTACATAAGATTAGCTGATGATTCGATGAAAATTTCAAGAGAAAGATAGTAACTGATGCAGCTAAGAACAACAATGAAAATGAAACAGAACATGTTGGACATTTCGATAGATGCTTTCGATGATCCGTCGGAAATAGAGTTGAATAACTTAATAATACTCTCTTCTTGTCTGTTTCGCTCTTGATCGGTGTTGTTCTCGTTTGTTGTGCTGCTGTTACCATCTTTAAGTTTAGAAAATGACTGTGAGATGCTAGAAATCACTGTTTTTGGCAAAATTGTTAGCATCTGGAGAATTTCAAAGCGATTCTTCCTCAGTTTCTTGATTTGTAAAACAAGAACAATAGGATATACAATAACACAGATAATTATCAATACAACTCTAATGATAATGTTGGTGCCATAACATTGTTCCGAGTGATCAATGAATCTGAATTACATGCTGTTTCTGCTGTAACCTTTTCTAAAGAAATAAGTTTATCAACATGGTTGCTTATCATGTAGCTGATTTGGGGAATTGAAGCATATGTTGTTTGCCAATTAGTGTTTGTGATGTAGTTTGTGAACTCCACACTTGATTCGAACAACAAATTTCGGACTTCAGTCATGTGTGTATTTTTAGGCTGGAATGAACGAAGTTGAGCCATCTTTGTGTTCGATTCTGGAACTTTTGAAGCAATAAACTTCAGATGAAACAGTAGAGCCGCCTAAATGTGACAATGTCATGCCTTCAACAAGTTGTAAAGCTTCCCCAACCTTTGTTCCTGGCATGTGTGGATCATCGATTTGCATAAATAAAAAGCGATTGACATAACCGCTAAGCATAGAAATAACATTCCTTGTTTGAGCAATTCCCTCCATGAATGTCACTGGCTGGGATAACTGCTTAGCAAAGAACTGGTAAGCGATGAGGAATGCTATAAAAGGCAATACAATGAAAAAGAACCAAAGCAAAAGCGTAGAAAAGTAGATGAATTGGATAGCCGGGATTTTATGGTTATCTATCTGCTTTGAAATGGACTCAATGGCTTCTATATTGACTGTTTCTTCAATTACAATGTCATCGGTTATTAATCCGTCGTCTGTTGTTTTAATTTTCTGAACTTGCTGTTCTGTATTTGAAATTTCAGGGAGATTTGGAAACGCTATCATACCTAGACTACGAATGTTGTCTTCTGATGTCGTAAATCCCCTCTGTAATTTCGATAATGTTTCTGAATAGTTCTTTGCTTCGATTGGATCGCCTTTTACATCGCTGAGGAAGATCATGTTCTGCTTTGCAATAAATCTGTTACTTGGATACTGCATTAATAAGTGAGACATTTCGATTTCGCATTCATATACTGATTCTTGAGTTCTTTTAATGATTGAGCTTAAGTCACTTATGTTTCCTTGAAGTACTAGATCCCAGATGTTGCGTTGTCTGTTTCTTGTCTTCATAAATAATTTGGATAATTTTGAAATTTTCGTTTTTAACTGAGGTGTGTACTTTGTTTCTCTTGTCTTGATGATATAGTTTGTGCATTCTATGATTACACCTACTAATTTGTCTTTTGTTTTGACAGAAGCGATACTTGCTCTGATCATTTGTAATGTTTGGCTATTTTCTGGATAAATAGCACAGAATTTAGCGAAAAGAGACCACATATCTAATGCATCTTTCCATTCATTTGCAGCAAGTTTGAATATTGACAAATCTAAACAAATTGGATGTGCAAATTGAAAACCCGTGGCTAGGATCTGCTTAAAATTATTCTTTGACTTAAGGATAGTGATATCTTGAGTATCCTCGACTTGGTCAAGTAAAGTAAGTTCTTTTCTGGAACGAGCTGTTAGGAAGAATTCAGTACAAATGAAGGTGATTGTTCCGACAATGGTAAAACCTGCGAAGAAGTAATCATTCCATGGAGTCTTGAGGAAAATGATTACTAAATTTGCAATACAAAGTAATATACCAAGAACCGATCCGGCCAAAACCATCAATGTATGTTTCCTGTTAATATAAGTACCACACTTGAAGCATGTTGTGGCACGTACCTTGAATGTAAGCAGAAAGCAGTTGTCCAGTATATTGGGCTGAAATTGGAACCAAAAGGAACGGTCCAATAGCCAGATAGACACTTAGGATAAGAAGGGAAGCCTTTGGAACTTTGCTAGTGCTCTTATATGAAAAGGCTGTAACCTGGAGATAAATTCCCATAATTAGCAAAATTCCATTAACTACACCTAAGATAATCATTTCATTTCCTCTTCTGTATTCCAATGGAACAACATGGAATAGTACTGTAATTACGCTCACAACTTTTTGAGCTAACGTGTTTTCAGCAAAGGAATCTAAATTGGCTGCCATGAATGAGCCACCAATAAGCTGGAAGAATCTTAGGAATGTAATGATTGTGTATAATAATTCCATTCTTGGTGCGTAAATATCGAAATAATTGAATAAAGCAATTAACGAGTCTATCATTTTTTCGGAGAATGGGATATCAATGAGGTGTTCAAATCTACTGACTGAAGCGGCTTCTATCTCAGATCCAGATCTTCCAACACTTGCCGTGCTTTCAGCCATTCAGAAAAAATGAAATATATAAATCCTTATCAAAAGCAATATCTCCTGAAAAATTGAGGACGATTTTTGAAAAGACATTCAATATATGCTTTGAAAAGCAAAATATTTAACATATCTTTCAATATGCGAATAATTTGCTAGGCGAATGATGCTTGACACATACAATAAATCCTTATTTCTCATGAAAGATGAAAGCTTTTTTTATTTTTTCTGAAGAAGGGAGATAATAGCTTTTGATTTGGTTATGCGTGATAGCCATTATCATAACAAAACCTTCTTTGAATGAAGAATTTGAATAAGTTGTCTGATTGAAACATTCAAAAATTTGAGTTTGATTTTTCCTCAAATTCTCTTCTCAAGAAAAACAGAATTAAATGGGGAAAACATATGTTATCAGCTAAAAGGTTCCGATTTTAAAGAGAATGATCTAAGAATCATTAGTTGAATAGACTTTCAAATATCCTTTGAAATAATTGAATATCGATCAACTGGGTTTCAATAATAAGGTCGCCAAAAAAAGTGCGGAAATTAAAAACCGCAGTTTGAGTACTTTCTGAGAGTCTGTTTGTCAGAAAGTATACATTTGTAAACTTTCTGACACTAAAATTTTTTTGGTCCTTTCAAAGTTTTTGACAATGTCAAAAAGTATACATCGGGACTCACAATTTTCCTCTCAAACGGCGGTTTTTTAAAAACGCTCAATTTTTCATCGACCTTATAATATCAACGAAATTCATACTTGCTGCAAATACTTCTTGGTATTTCGATTTTCTTTGCATCAATATTTCCATTTTTGTTTCCACTTTAAAATGGTATTTAGGCAAGTTGAATGCTCTGCGTATTATTACATTACTAATTCTCATAACTATAAATATAAATCAATGTCAGATGAATATAAAAAGACTTTCATTCGACTCAGATAGATGTGAGGAAGATATCACTATCAATAATAGAAATTGACAATTAAAATATTGTATTCAAAATTTGATAAATTTTGTATGTATTTCAAATTAATTCAATGTGGGTTTATTATTTGTATGGGTAACCAATTAGGGCAGAAACTATTTTGTTGTAAACAGAAATTCATCAAAAGTGACACCTCAGAAAAGCTAAAATATTGAATTTTTGGAACTTTTGATAGAGCACGTTTTTAAATATTAATTAAAGTAAATGTATATTTTGTAAAGATTCTTTTTAATAAAAAAATAAAATTTTGAAGAAGAACACAAAATCTTCTGAAAAATAATATCACATAAACTCATATTATTTTCTAATATATAACTATTTTATATAAAAATCAAATTCAATGATCTTAAAAGCGAAGGATAAACCTCAAAATTTACGAATATAATGAGTGTGAATATAATGCTTATCTATCATAAAACCATATGAAATATCAATTTTTGCTTTACGCCTAATTTTTGACGACAATTAGCAAAAAATGTTAAATGTTAACACTCAGTCCATTTGAATATGAAAAATAAAATTGACTTTGATTAAATGTTTTTATTTATCATGCAATTCTTCTTGCGACCAAAGATTTGAATAAAATTTCAAAAAATAAGATAGCTTAAAAAATAATATACGGTAGTGTTTACTAATAGATGAATAGTATATAAATTCTATTAAAATGGATTTGATCCAAAAAACTATAAAACCAAAAATAATTGTTATAATTTAGTTAGTATACCTAAGTTGTGTACTGAGGCACTGCACGTCTCCATACACAACTTAACGGTTTTGACACTTCACGAAACCGTTAACATATATTTTACAACACAAACGACAACACCAACTTAACCTTAAATATTTATAAAGCCGCCAACCACTTCACCTTACTACTGTAAAAATAAACGTTCTCACTTACAAAAGTATTGCAACTCCTCCCATTGCTGTGCTTCATATAACAGCTCATAATCTTCTGACTCACTTTCTTCTTCATATAGGTCAAAATCACTGTCATAGTTTATACCTGTAAGTTTTGACAAAGCTAATGAAACACGTTTACCGTTTGTATCGTATGCTTGTATAAACTTTCCATTCTTCATTCCTTCATAAACGCTCAAACTAACTTTACCCTTTCTCCCTCGTATCTGATAGAATGTATTTTCACGAGGAACGAAGAACAAGTTCTTGAACTCATGACCGTTGTAGTTTGTTATCTCAATAGTTTTCGTCATTTACATCCAAATAAACTTAAAAATAAACTTAAAAATAAACTTAAAAATTAATGATATCACCACCCTCACACGTATGAAAACATAGCACAAAAATAAATTTAGGTGAAGTGGTGACATCTCACCTCTTTTTTCACCTCTTTTTTCACCCACTTGAATTCATTACTTTATAACTCTCTTCCTTTCTCCAACTCTTCTAACTTCTTCTTAAGTTCAGCAATGTTGTCCTCATGAAGTTTAATCTTCCTTAATATACCTTCTCTATCTAATGGTTGCTTTATCTTTCTAAACTGAACTCTACCATCCTTCATAGTATGAATGTAAAAACCTTCTGGAATAGTTCCTGATTTAATGTATTCTACCAAAAACTTTTGTTTCATTGCTTCAGTGACTTTAGTCGTCATTTCAATCAAATAAAAATTTTAATATTAAATAAAAATAACGTTATTTTTTCAGTAAGGAAACGCAGGAGTTTTACGATTTATTTGAGGAGTAGGTTCTGGTTTAAATGTTGGAGTCGGTTTAGGAGTTGACTTTTGAACAGGAGTTTGTACTTCCATAGGTTCAGGAGTTATTGAAGGTTTTGCTTGTGAAGGCGTTGGTTTTGGCGATGGTGTCGGAGTTTGTTCAAATTCAGCTACTTCAGTATTATTTATAACATTTGCTTTGTTTCTTTTCAACATCATTACTGCTCCTGCTGTAGCTAGCAAACCTAGTGGGAGACCATATCTTATATAAGGACTTGACCAAATGCTATTTTTGACAGGAGCTGGTGGAACACCTAACCTTGGTGAAACTGCTCTTTGTCATTGTGCAGCTCGTAAGAAATATTCAATAGGTGCTCCATAATCGTTTGGTAAAGTTTGTTTCACAGATGGTGAAGGTTCACGAGAGCTTGATGAAGAACTCATTTATAAGCTTTAAAAATAAACGTTCATCCTTTATTCCTCACTGTCGTCTGTGGCTAAGTTATAGTCATCTAATCTTATTATGGGGATGCCTGACTGTCTTACTTGTATTGCAAAGCAACAATCCCTCATAAATCCAATAAGTGGCTTTGGTACATTTTCTGTTGCTAGTTCAATAGGTCCTTTAACAGACAATTTGTATGTTATTGGAGCAGTAGATGTTTGACCTTGTTGGAAGCAAAAGTCCACTTCTGTTGGAAAACCACATAAGAAATGTGTGTTGTCATAGCTATCCCATTTATGTTCCACACTACCATCATCCACCAATGACCTCATAACATCTTCATTAAATCCAATCATATCATTGTTTGTATTGCAAGCGTTCGCAACCATTTCATAAAATACAGGTCCATATGATTTTTCAGGTTCTGCAGGCATATTTCCATAAGCTCCCATGGAAAGCTGAAGATATTTAAACTTAGGGTTCTCAAAATTAACATAATAGTTGTCTTTCTTTCTAAATAGTGCCCAAATACTTTTAACATTAATAGGCGTATAAGCTGCTGTAAATGTTGCACTTGAACTATCTGTATTCTTTGAGAATGAACCGTCCATAGGAATCCAATCCATAACTTTAACAGGAAAACATAAAGCCTCGTTTGTATAATGTTCTACAAGTTCTGTATAAATGTTAGGGTCTAAAGAGAATGACTTTGGATGAATAAAACATTCATTAAAATCCATCTTTGTTCGAAATAGTTGCTGGGTTACAGTTGTAATAGTAACTGTTCCACTAGCTTCAGTTGCACTCGTTATCATAGTGAATGGTTCATTCCATGGAACAAATTTATTTGTCGGTGGATTTGAACCTGAAGCAAATGCAACTTTAAGAGTTGGATTGAAAGCAATGATATCATTTACAGATATAGATGTGCATTGTAAGGCGTCGCTACTGAACTTTACTTTAAGCTGAATGTTTCCTGCAAAAGCTGGAATAAATCGAATAGGTTCTAATGGTAAAAACTTTCTAACAGGAATTCTTAAACGAAGCTTAAAATCAAATGATTTTCCTGCTGTAATTGGACCACTAACAATTTGTCCTGTTCTGCATGTTCCCGAATGACTCCATACATCTTCATGTCGAGTCTTTGAGAAAACATCGACTTTCTTTATTTGTTCGGTAGTTTGTGAGTTTGAAGTTATATATGCTTCTTCTCTTGCGTTGTCTTGAGAATATACGATACGACCATTTGCAAGGATTTGATATCCAGCAACTGCATAGAAAGCGTCATCGAAACCAATCCAAAATCCTGGTGGGTTTGTTTTATTGGAACCTGAACCAATTTCTTTATCTACAATAAATTGACCTTCCATTTTATACGTAATGAATGTATTGTAAAGGTCCAACATATTTTCACCAGGAGGTGAGAGATTGAATGTTACCCATGTGTTATCTTTAGCAGTTCCAGGTTGTGATGGAATCTTTGCGTCAGAATATTTTCTATTAGTGTCACCAATTTGAACTGCATTGTCTATGATATCGAAATATGAGCGAATCTGATGAATATGCTCTGCTGGAGTAAATTCGTTTAGCTGTTCGTTCTGCATGTATTTACTTCAGATAAAAATATCTATTTACTTCATTATTCTCACTCTTCTTCTTGGCATTCGTGGTGGAAGTTGTTTCTTGACATTTTCAATGAACTGTACATTCTCTTTTGTCTCAACTTCTTTCACTGGCGGGTCAGGGTTCTTTGACTCGGTTTGTTTTTCAATGAAATTCACGAACTTTGCAATAAGCTCTTGGTTCGTTATTGAAAGTACATCTGGCTTCTTTTCTTCTTGTTCTTTTGGTGGCTCAGTTTGAACAGAAGGTTTTATATGGACTTCATGGACTTCACCCTTGCCATGCACCTTAATGTTGTCGCTCTCTGCATTCGCTAATGGTACCTTTCTTTTTCTTACGTATATTTTACCATCTTTACTCTGACTTACGTAATAGAAAGGATGTTGTATTCCTCTTGCGTCATTTAATATAATAGACTCTCGCTCTGATTTTGACAAGCTCATTTTACATCGGTTAAAGTTTTAATTTTGTTTTTTATCTGCAATCAAATGACTCAGACAAGCCCTACGGACAAGACCCAAGGTGTCATAGATGTTGAAGCATTGAAGAAAGAAATTCGTGAGCAAATTTTATCCGAACTGAAGGAACAAAAACAAGAACAAAAGCCAGAGAGACCAAAGAGAAAACTTAGTGAAAAACAACTAGCTGCATTAGCTGCTGGAAGACAAAAGAACCCACGTTTGCTGGCAAAGAAAGCTAGAGAAGAAGCTGAAGCAAAGAAAGAGTAAATGGTTTATTTTTATCCGAACTAAATGTATAGACAAATACCTTTATCTGTTGCGTTCAGTAGTGAAAACCCTGACGTCAAAATAAAGGGGAACAGAGTAACGTTTAAGTTTCCAACAGACTGGATTGTGAACATAAATGAAGAGAAGTACATTGGCATAACATCTATGTATATAACACGTGCTTTCAGAAAGGTTGACTTTATACTTCAAGTCGAGATAGAAAATGACGAACAGTCTTTAAGCGCCCAAAACATTCACATATACAAATACTTTAAAGACGATACAACATTGTTGCAATGTATGATTTCATTTAATGAGATGTTCGAGAAAAAGTTCAACATTGAAGTACAAACTTTACAGCCTTTACGTGAGTTTCTTGCACAACTGAAAGAAGAAGGTAGTCAGCCACAACTTATAGACTTTCATTATGAATTTAATGAAAATGAAGATGGAACTCATGACTGTCAATTCATTGTATTCTCACCATTCAATGAAGTCGCTAAAGAGAAAAAAAATCCATTACGTATAAGATTTCAAATCTCCGAACCAAGTGATGATTTTAAGAATGTTTTCAATTATGATGCAATGCTTCCGAGGAAAAATGAATTTTCAAAGATTGTAACACCTGGCATTTGGGATAGAAAGCAAGCTATATTATATTCAAACTTAAGTAAAGGAGTTGAAAATGAGTTCATTGGTCATACAAGAACTTCACCACTTCCTAACCCTAAATACTATAAATTAACCGGCTTCAATCGTGAGTTTTGGATAGACATGTTCTCCACTCATGACCATAAATGTCCGGTGTTCTTGCCTCCAGACCATAAGGACTGTCTCTACATTGAAGCACAACTCTTAAACTCTACCATCGCAGTATTGTAAAATCTACGCTAGCTTTATTTTTATCACGAATGACCTCATTCATGACCTCATTCATGACCTCATTGCTGACAAAAATAAGCCGCTAGCGGCAAGGGCGAAGCCCATGACCTCAGAACTTCAACTTACGAATAAAGCTTGTTTTAGTCGTTATTGAAAAGTTGAACTTTTCAGCAAAGCAAGGTTGACATGACTTACATAAGTCGAATGCAATCTCTTGACCATCATAAAGTGCTTTGTAAAGTTTCATTAAACTGAACTCAGAGTCTTTGTCATATGTTCCAACAGGTATGTGAATGTTCTTATCTTCATTGTAATAGCATTGTATAGCTTCAGGAAACATTTCATTAGCGGTTAAAGCAATAACATCTTGCTTCACGCCTTTCATTCTGCAGTGAAATGCAACTTCATTTAAATCGTTAGTGAGTAAGTCTATGTAGGTCTTCTTTCCACAGAAAATACTTTTATAAGCTAAACTTTGTTTTCCAGGTGTTATTTCTGCAAAGTCGCTATGAAATTGACCAAGGTTCTTTCCTATAAGTTCTCTACCGTATCTCTTCTTAAACTCTGCTGCAAGCTTTGGGATGTCTTCATTATATAAGTGCATACTGTCGGTATCCTGGTAAAATATTTGAAGACCCATGTCCTCTGCAGTACAGAATACTTCATTCATAATACGTTTTGACATAGACAGAATATTAACACCAAGTGGACAGAAGTTAAAGTGTCTGCAAATGCTTTTCGTTAGCTTGAAAATAGTTTTTATCTGAACCATCCAAACCTTCGAACTTCACTATATGGTTGTAATTTCTTATAGCATATCTTATAGCATCTTTGTCATCTACTATGGTTATTTTTGACTCAATAGGAGATAGAATAGTTTTGCCATAAATGCTGTTCAGAATGAGTTTTATAATTTCTTGTAAGGGTTTTCTTCTTTCTTATACTTTAACCTTAACTCAAACAACTTCTTTACTTCATCTCTTATTCTCATATCTCTGTTTCCATCGTAATAGTATCCTTGCAACACTTCACATTTGACACCTTGATATTTTATGAGGTCTTGTAATGTTATATGGTCAACATACATGAGACAGCAAGTGTTTGAACTTCTTGGAACGTTAAGTTCTGGATTTAGTTCAGGGTCGCAAACTATTAAATGAAAGTGTCTGGGTATACCAATCTCTGTTATCTTAATGAGAACAAAGAAGCCAGACATAAACTTTTCACCAATGGGTTCCTTTTGGTCATCATCGAATAAATGTCTCATGAGATACTCTGTGCTTAACATCTCATCCTTCAATACTTTTGGAATACCTTCTAAAGTATAAAGTCTTGCTATAGCTGAAGGATATAATGAAACAGTGTCGAAGTCAGCAATGAGTTTCTTTTTGCTCTTTTGTTTCATGTTATCTGACAACATACATCTTCCACCTTGAATGCATCTCGAAATAAATTCTCTTGGTTTATTTGAGAGGTCATAAAGATTTCCATTCGGGAAGTATACTCTGTTCTCAAACAATTTGTTAGCAATAGAACAAATACTAACGTAGTCATAAACGTTTAAATCAAACTCTTTCAATAAGTCATTGCGGAACTTTACAAAACCTTCTCTTAAAATTCTTACATCTTGTTTGCAGTAAAACGTGCTATATTTTTCTAAGTCGAAGTGGTTTTCATCTATTCTGCAACCTTTGATGGAATCTATGTTCTTCATAAATGTATCTGCATCATGGATAAACTTACATGCTTCAGAAATGACACCAGTTCTGTTGTCATTTGCTAACAAAACACTGCTGTAGTAGTTGTATGGAAATACTTCTTTCGGTCCTGTTTGTAAGTTAAACATAGCAGGAAATAGTTTAAGCTTCTTATTTATAACACTGTAAGAGTCTTTTATAATAATTGCCCGTCCTTTATATAAACCAGTTATTTGCATTGTTCGTGAACCTTTAATGATGGGAGTTCCTTTCACTTCTGTCATGTGTCTTAAGATGAAGTTTATGTCATAACTGAGGTTGTGAAAATATATTAAACTCTTGTCAGGAAGTCTTTCCAAAAATTCTGTTGCACAGTTTTGACCCCAAATGCTTTCACTCACTGAACCATCTTCACTGTCATAACAGATGTTAAAAGCTTTATGAAAGCCATCCGTACTACACTCAAAGTCAGCAAAGAAAACGTGCTCAGGATGAATTTACATTTAGCTTTATTTACTTCTTTTGACTCTGCTTTCTTCTTCAGTTGTACACAATACTTTGGAGCATATGTCAAATCTTTAAATGGTGCAAGGTTCTGTTTATATAAGTCAGTAGTATATGTGAAAAGTTCTCCATAAGAAATAGGTTCGAAATATTTGCACTCCCACAATGTTTTCATAACATCCCATAACGGTGTTGTTCTATCATAACGAACTACATATTTATCTTCTCTCTTTGTATAAATCTTCATCTGTTTCTCAATGTTCATTCCACCACAAGCTTTGAGAATTTCTTTATAGTTTCGAATGAAGTATGTTGTCATTGGAATCTTTCATTTAGCATGTAGTGGTCTTCAACAAGAAGTAAGTCAATAGTTCTAACAGTTTCGCATTCTTTTGGTATATATCTCTTTATTTCATTATGTCTTGAGTCATTGAAATAACCAATGGTAACATTAAATGCTATACCTGTTGCGTCAGAAATTTCTTGTACTTTACTTTGAGGAAAGTCTCTAACACGAATGACTTCTCTCATGTGGTCAATAGTTTCTTCATTTACTCCAGCCTGAATGCAAGCATAAACGAAACAATTGTCCTCTGTCATAAGTATTGCAGTTCTTTTGTTCAGTTCATTGAAGATTTGGTAGCGTTCAAGATTTATAGGTAATGTGCAAAGATACTTCCATAACTGACCGCTTCTCTTCTTATAAAACTTCTTTTCACCATTATCTTTCCAAAAGCTTTCTATAAGTGCTGGGTTTCCTGTTTGCTTAAGAGCTTCCAAAATGGCTTTCTGGTCATTTGTCAGTGTGCTTTCATCTCTATATGGTCTCTTTTTTGGTTTGCCTTTCTTTACATCTGACATCGTTAAGCCTTCATATTCTGTTAAATCATACATCTTTATTTCAGTAAGATTCTTTATGTTTGTCAAGAAGAAGTCATAGTGCATTTCAACAATACCTGCAGCATTTGCTTCTATCTCTGATATAAAGTTCTCCTTCAAGAGCTGATGTAGTAATGTTCCAATATTATTGAGGTTTAACGTAGAACATTCATACTTTCCACCAAGTTTATAACATACCATCCATCTTTGTTGCGAGTTTATTTTAATTTTCTCTAAGAGTCTCATGAAAACCTTACCGAAATGTTTGTGTAAATATTCTCTGTTTGGTTCATCTAAAGCTTCGATGTTAAAGTCAATGAGTCTATTGCCTGACTTCACATTTCTCTTCCTATTCTCTTCATCTTTCTTTAACCATCTCTCACCTTCTTTTGGTTTGTCGTCAATGGAACGAATGACATCGTTAGCTTTGCGAACTTGTTCTATAGCACTTTTAAACATCTCTCTTCTCTGTTGTTTCAGTGTGTCGTCTCTTCTTCTTGTTTCACCAACGTTTGCATTATTGTTTGTTATGTCAAACATTTCTTGACGAACATCATGCGAAAGAGCTTTACGAGTATGACCAACGTTTGCATTTGTTATGTCAAACATTTCTCTTCTTACTTCATGAGGTACTGAACGTCTATGATATAAGTCAATAGCAATGTCATTTAAAGGAAATGCTCTTGCATGGACTTCGTCCTCGCCGCGTTGCGGCTTTATGAACTCATGAATTCTATCATAACTTATTGCACCATTGTAGTCTTTAATGAAGTCAGCGAGTGCTTTTTTGTTTGTCGCGTAATGTTTTGCAACATCTATATTAGCTTCTGTAAGAAGTTGTTTTATTTCCGAGTGTTCTAACTTAGACAACTTCCGATACATCTTTAGTAGGAAATAAAAAAATATTTTTTGAAAAAATTAGATTAGATTTTTTTAAGTTATTTTTCAAAATAATTTAATATTTTTATTTTAATGAAACACATGCAAGATTGCAAGTTCTTTTCATACAATGCTCTCGCTACTGCCATCAAGAATGAGTTCAATGGTGCTTCAAACGTTAATGTTATCTTTAACAAGAAGTTTGTGAAAGAATCTAAGTTCGGTCAGTATGTCAGACCATTAGCTATTGTCATTGACCGCAAACGTTATACTTCACAAGAGTTAGCAGTAGTTTTGAAACAAAAGAGTTTCTTCGTGAATGTCAAAGATACTCATTATACTGTTATAAAGAACTCCAACATTGACTTCTTCAGTATTGTTTTAGATTTATCGCAGCAGAAAGAATATAAGAAAGGTGAAACAAATGTGAAATATTATCCTTCATCTCTGAAGACAATAACGAACAAAGATGTCATACAAAAGTTCTTACCAAAGGTTGAAGAAGCTTCTATTGACATTGACGAAGAAAGTGAAATGGTTGAAGAAATTGACCCTGAAGCTATTTAACCAAAAATATATTTTTGGTGAAGAGGTGAGATGTCACCTGTTTTCTCTTCGTTAATGTTGTCGTGACTTCTTCGTTAATGTTGTCGTGACTTCATTCTTCCTCTTTGAAGTTGTCGAAATATTCTGTTATTTTTTCCTTCAGTAGCGGCAAGTCTTCTTTGAAGGTAAGTATTGTGCAACCTTTGATGTCATAGTGTGTTTGAGGAAGAGTATTTTTGACAATTTCTTTTATTTGCTCATTCGGTGTCATTGAAATCGGTAAGTTTTCACGATAGAACCAGTTTCTGTCAGATTTATATATTTTAGCAAGGTCATAAAAGCTTTTGTTGTTTCTTCTGACTAAATGCAACATAACCATATCTTTATCTTCTTCATTCTCCAACTCTTCAGTATAAATCATATACTTATAGTTCTTTTCCTTTCCTTTTGGTACTGAACGCGGTATTCTTTTCTGTATGCTTTTGTCTTTGGATTCAATGACTTCATCTTTTGCTTGAAGTTTCTTTTCCATCTCTCCACGTTCTTGTCTGTGAAGTTCGTCAAGAAGTTTGTAAATATTCCAAGCATAACGTGGTGAAGCCCACATTGCAACTGCATTTACTAAAGTCTATGAACATAATATCCTCAAACCGTTTGGCAATTTTTCACGGTTTTCATAGAGTTTTGGCGACTGGGATTTTTTACCTACTCGCTGTTCTTCACTGTTTTCAGAAAAAAGTACGTCTCGCTGTGCTTCACTTAATAGTTCTATGGTGCTTTGGTTCCTAAACCAGTCTTTAGGAAGCTTAGTATCTGGAGCAAAACAAGCCGTCAAAATACTTTGCATTTGGTACATGTCGTCTTTGACAGAACGAATGAGTCTCAATTGTTTGTTATACTGTATGTATTCGTATTCTTCATTTATGACTTCATGAACGATAGCAGTTGTTGTGTTCTCTAATGTTGACATATCTGTCTTTACATACAGGATAAAAAATAAATAAAATAAAAACTAACTTTATTTTTTTGAGATAAACACTATTTCTTCACAACATTAAATTTTATCCTGTATGAAATGACTTTAAAAAGATTATTGACTGACTTCGAATACTATCTCATTGACGCACTGACAGACCCTTCAAAACTGTGTTGAAAGTTCTTTAAGCTTTATTTACGGCCCCCAACCCCCAAAACAGTTTGACAGTTTATAGAAACGTGTTCGACCCTCAAAATGTTATGTGTCATGCAAGTTTCAGTTCAAGCAACAATAGTTTTCTATGTATTGGTAAGGACTTTTATGACCTTACCTCTAAATTCTACGAACCACCTAGTAACAGTTTCTCTGACTTTCAAGTCTGGTTCACAACAAACGGTGTGCAGCATATTATACATTGTACTATGATTTTATCTCGAATTGTCTTTCATATATAACTACGGAAAAGTGCTGAAAAAGTATTGAATGTGAAGATATTAGAAAAAACATTTTTTCTAACATCGTAGAAAACTCATGAAAACAATTTTTATTTTGTGAATATGTAAGCGGCTCATAGCTCAGTGGTATGGGCTACCTCGTTAAAGGCGTCGAAGACCTCGGTTCAAATCCCGATTCGCGCAGGTTTTTTCCTTTTATGCAGTGAAATTTCATGTACATAGGTTACTTTGGTGTTAGACCCTAGTGAAGAAAATAGAACGATATAAGTTTACATTTGTAAGGTTACTTTGGTGTTAGACCCTAGTGAAGAAAATAGAACGATAGGAGTTTACATTTGTAAAGTTGGACGATAAAAATCTCTGCTACTAGCAGTACTGCTACTGTCAGTAAAAGTACTGCTCTGTCAGAAAAAGTACTGCTACTGTCAAAAAAGTACTGCTACTGTCAGTAGCAGTACTGCTAGAGCAGTAAAAGTACTGCTAGGAGCAGTAAAAAGGAAAATTTGAGAGGGTTTTCGACGATAAAGTACTGCTACTGTCAGTAAAAGTACTGCTACTGTCAGAAAAAGTACTGCTACTGTCAGAAAAGTACTGCTACTGTCAGTAAAAGTACTGCTACTGTCAGTAGCAGTACTGCTAGGAGCAGAGATTTTTATCGTTGTGGTCCGACGGTTAAGCCACAGACGAATGTCCGACGTCCCACCAACCGAGTCCATTCCCAACCAGAGGAACCTAAAGCACCAGCCCCTGCACCTCAGTTCCAGCAAGTCCAATCTCAATCCAAATCGAAGAGAGACCAAGAGTTCGAAGAAGGTCTGAACCGCTTACGCAAAGAGTATGCTACAGCTCCAACCCTTGGTTGTTCCAGCAATTCCAATTCCAGTCCAAATTACTACCAATTCCAATACAAATCGAAGAGAGACCAAGAGTTCGAAGAAGGTCTGAACCGCTTACGCAAAGAGTATGCTACAGCTCCAATTGAGAGAAAGTTGTTCCCAGACCAAAAAATATAATTTAGGGTAGAAGGTCATGATTTCATCGTAAATGTTTTGTCAAGACTTCTTCGTATATGTTTTGTCAAGACTTCTTCGTATATGTTTTGTCATGACTTCTTCGTAAACTAAACGTAAATGTTTTGTGAAGAATATACCAACCCGCGGAAAACAGCGGGTTGCTTTTTATACAAAATTCATGCGGGAAATTCTTGAGTTTTGGTTGAAAGAATACGGTGGAGCCAAAAGTGGCTCGACCTCAAAACAAGCATTTTATGAGCTTACAAAGGGTGTTATGAATGAATTCAGCAACATACATCCTGACCTCGTTCATTTTGTTGCTAAATTCAGTAAAAATAATGTTTAGGGTAGAATGTTAGATCTAACCTGTTTTCTAACCTCTTTTCTAACCTCTTGAATTTTCATGAATTTTCATGAATTTCATCGTAAATGTTTTGTCGAAACTTCTTCATCGTAAATGTTTTGTCGAAACTTCTTCATCGTAAATGTTTTGTCATGATTTCATCGTAAATGTTTTGTCATGATTTCATCGTAAATGTTTTGTCGAAACTTCTTCGTAATGAGCGTAAATGTTTTGTCATGATTTCATCGTAATGAGCGTAAATCAGACAAAAATAATGTTTATGTTAGAATGTTAGATCTAACACCTTTTCTAACACGTTTTCTAACATGGTCTAAAACACACAAAACTCATGAATTCAGCAAAAATATATTTTAGGGTAGAAGGGTATATCTAACCTCTTTTCTAACCTCTTTTCTACCCTCTTGAATTTTCATGAGTTTTCCCGAAATAAAAAATAAAGTTGGTTTTTTTAAAAAAAATATTTTTTATTTTTATTGTAAGAACATGTTAGCAACAACAGCACCAAACTCGTTAGTCATGAACCCAACTTCAATGTTAGTAGAGATGAAAAGCTTCATTCCTTCTTCATATACTTTTGAGACAGAAATCCAGAAGATAAAGCAGGAACTTTTAACAAGTACTTTAGACTGTAGTGCGAAAGATGAAACAAATGAACAGTATCTTTATGAAATGCAGGATATTATTGACCATCTACCTAAACTTCCTGAAATCAACAACAAAAGCTTACTATTCCGAGATTCGACGAAATAGAAGTCAAAGCAACTGACTCAGTAGAATAAAGAAGTTCATACGAAAGGTAAACTATGAGTTTCTTGATTTCATTGCAACCAAAACAAGTCATGGACAAAGATTGCGATATGGTATATAAAGAACATCTCTGACATATACAAATCTGGGGAGTTTAAGACCTACGACAACTTTGTTTCGTTAGTTGCAAAATGTGTATGGCAGATAAGAGATAAAGATAGAAGAGGTAAGATATGGAATGAACAGATAAAACCCGCACTTTTGAGTTAAGAGAGCAATTGAACGCCTTAGTCATACTAGCAGGTAAGATTTCAATGTACAATGCTAAAAATGAAACCCAACAATGTTCAAAATGTAAAGCGGCAATGAGGAAATATAACTACTCGTCAAAGAGATAGAACGTATGCGAAACGACTATGCTGACTTAAAGAAAGAAGTAGAGAAACCAGCCAGAAGATAAAATGGACATGTTGACATTTCTGAACAAAAACTATCAAACAGCTGACGATTTCCTTCTATCTGATGTCAAGAAGAAATATAAAGAACATTCGGCATAGTTAAAACATTCGATGTACTGACAGAAGAAATAGAAGCTACGAAATTGTTTAGAATTTCACGAATTCACAATGTTTACCATGTAAAACGCTTATAAAATAACTGGGGTAGAAAAGAGGTTAGAAAAGAGGGTATATCTAACCTTCTACCCTAAAATATATTTTTATTGAATTCCGTATGAAATTTCATGAGTTTTGTATGTTTTAGACCATGTTAGAAAACATGTTAGAAAACGTGTTAGATCTAACATTCTAACATAAAATATATTTTTGTCTGATTTACGCTCATTACAATGAAGAAGTTTCGACAAAACATTTACGAAGAAGTCTTGACAAAACATTTACGAAGAAGTTTTGACAAAACATTTACGATGAAATCATGAAAATTCACGAGGGTAGAAAAGAGGTTAGAAAAGAGGTTAGATATACCCTTCTACCCTAAACATTATTTTTATTGAATTCAGCAACAAATTTCATGAATTTCCTTAAGATACAAAATAGAAAAAATAAAGTTAGTTTTTTATAAAATATTTTTTTTTATTTTGTAATGTAAGAAACAGAAAATGACAACATTGAGTTTTGAAATAGTTAAAAAAGATAGACAATGACACCAAAGTGGTTAGAATAGGGGATTTAAACGTAAGATACTCAAAAGAAATACAACAAAATTATTCTTTGTCAGAACATTTTAACACTATCTGAAAAGAAAACATCCCACGACTGGGTTAGAAATTGCTTCTACTCAGAGAAATTTTGACAAGAAATCCTGAGCTTATGATATCCGGTAAGATTCTATGGAACAAGAACATATCTCATCGCACAAAGTCTTACCAATAGTTTTTGTTCTGGATTGACCCAGTTGTTGGAATATAATTTCATAACATATGGTTCATTCGATACTGAACGTATGCAGTGAAGGCTTACTTTATATCGTTCAGAAACCGAAGGACTTCAACACAAAAAGATATAAGATAGGAAGAACATATAATATAACTCTAAGATATGACAGTATAGTCAATAGAGTTAAGGTTGCGTTTGTTAACGATATGAGAGCTGCTGAAACAGAACTACTTGAAAAGTTTGAGAAGATGTATGGTGCTCCCACGAAAGGTAGGGAAACGTTTGAAGTAGATGAGATAGATAGTGCTATAAAAGTATTTGACGAAGTTGCTGAAAAATACATGTAAAGCGTTTATTTTTGGTCTTTTATACAAGATAGAAAAAATAAAGTTAGTTTTTATTTTTTTTTATTTTTTTATTTTGTATGTAAAGACAGATATGTCAACAACAGAGAAACACAAAACAGTTATAGTCACATGAAGCTATAAATGAAGAATATGAGTACATACAAGTATAACAAACAACTCCGTCTCATTCGTTCGGTCAAAGATGACATGTACCAAATGCAAAAGTATTTTGAAATGCTTCTTCGTTCTACAAAGCAAGCACATCATGTTTGAAAACCAACAAGACAAAAGAACTTTTAGAAGAAATTTCCTCATATGTTTGCGACCCAAATGAAATGTGAAACAAATAGTTTCAAGATACTTTACTCAAACACACTAATGATATTAAAAGGTTGTACAATACTTAAATTCAAAGAAGAGTTTGCCGCTACTGAAAGAAAAAATAACAGAGTATTTTGACAACTTCAAAACAAGCAGAGTAAATGAACTCTTTATTTTTCAAGCTTGACTTCAGATGGCTCAGGTAGCTCTATAAGGTAAATTGGTCTTGTCAAATCCTTCTGGCATTCCGAGTCCTTCCATCCGACAGGAAAAAAATTTCCCGACAACAGGAAAAAAAAATTTCCTTCCGACAGGAAAAAATTTTCCGAGTTGTCGTCCGTACGTAAACCATTCAAACTTTTCGAAAATTGAGAACTTTTTTCCCACGAACAGAACTGGAAAAATTTTTCCTCACAACTGGAAAAGTTCTTCCTTACCGACAGGACACAACACGAATGTCCGACGTTCCTTCTTCCTGAAATGCCTTCCAAGCCAGAAGAAACCGAAAGCTGCAGAACCACAAACAGACTTACTTACTTAAAGACTAAACTCTTTATTTTTGTACGCTTGACTTTTTACAACTTTGAACTTTGGTTCGCGCTAGATATGAACTTACTGAAAGAAGTATTGAGGGTCTTGTATGACTTTGTAGTTCTCCCATAGTCTCATGTCTGTCAACTTACCTGCCATGGACTCTTTCATAAGTTCCATGAAATCGTCTTCGGACAATCCAGGGAAAAGTATGATATCAGTAAGTATTCTTTTAACATCCCTTACTTAAACTCTTTGCTGTCTGTACACAAATGACAAACTGAAGATGTTAACAAGTGTCATGAGCTTCTTTAAGAATTCGACACATGTCTGTTCTCTGTTCTTTAACAAAGGATGAGAAGCAAAGTCATCTAAGATAACAGAAGACATCTAAGATTAGGTAAATTTGTGTTGAATTTCTGATATTTTGTGTTTGACTTCGTTCTTTTGTATATACTTTTCTTCTTGTTGTTGTGTCATTGAATTTGGTGTATGTCCTGTTGTAGAATGTGTTGAGGAATTGTAAACTTCGATGAAATGTTTCATTGTTTCTTCGGTAAAGTCTCGCTCTTGATTTAAATCTCTGAGAGTCCTTATGAAGCGGTTAATGATACCGAGTATGTTATGGTTATGGCTTTCAGTAGTGTAGTGAGTTATGTTATGCTTAATGAGAAAATCTGTGATTTCATTGCTGAGGTATGCACTGTCTTGGCTCTGATGTTAAAGTACTTGGGCTATGTTCTGCTACAAACTTTTGTAAAACTCTTAACACTTCACGAGTTCCTTTATTTTTCATTGGAATGCATATGCTTTACGAAGTGTTAACATTTATGAAGATGAGGAATGGTTTTATGTCCTCCTTTTCTGCTTTGAATGAGAGTGTCAAATTGGTATGCGTCAGGAGTGTTGGAGTAAATTGGTAAAAAGTAGTCGTAAGGGTTTATTTTTGTTTGATGTACAACATTTTTGTCAAAGAACTTTTTAACTTCAGCTCTGTTAGTAAATCCCCAACTCTTTGCAGCTTCATTGAACTTCTTAAATGACCTCCATGGATGTTGTTCGAATACTTCTTTCAAGCTCATTTATGTAAAAATAAAGATTTTATTCTAGGCTCAAGCGCGT